GGATTAATTCAAAGGTTAGACCTCTCGCTACTCCGCTTGTCACATGAAAATAACTCAAACAGGACAGAGCAAATTCTGACAGTTTGTGATCTTCTCCACAATCAATCAATATCAGAAACTCTCCTGCACGGCTCCACAGCTTCTTCATCGAGCTCAGAGCTAATCGTGGGCGTTACCAAAACTACGAACAAGTAGTAGTACCTTACTGTATGACCCGTATCCAATTATCATATTTTTATAGCAGCAACCTCAGTTTACGCTTATATAGCTAGAGCTGCCATGAGTGTCGGTATCCGAATTATCCCCCAATCTCCGTCCACTAAAAATAGTATCCATTTGTTAAAATTATGAGTTGCGCATCACTATTTTTCGTACTTACCTCCCACTTACTAAGGTGGGTAACTTTGAGCATAATGCTGGCTTCGATAGTCATTTTTCAAACTACCTCTCCAGAAGTTCATAGGAGCATTGTTGTTTTGATCTCTGAGTAAGGACCTAGGCCTATGGGAACGGAAACTACTAAACCAATCCAAATGATCAACCGGCCACTCAGTGAAGTGATGCCCTCCTGACTGCCCCACCAGGTATTCAACACTGATTATTGACCCTCGTTTTTCTACATAAACAGGATATCGAGATGTTTCTGTGGTACCAATATTTTGATTTAGGTGAACAAAAATAATAATACTTTCCACACGTCTTTTATATTTGAAGTTAAATGTCTGTACTTTATACTGTTTGATGATGTGGAAAATAGTTTACTGTGGTAAAAAATTCTATTTTGTTCTTTCATTAGTCATGTAAAAAATTGAAAAAAGGAACAGTACGATGATAGTGTTGTATTTTTTGACACAATGATTGTTTAATATTCTGACAAACGACGAAAATTAATAGCCACTTAATATTTGTCCACAAAGTGCAATCATAATTTTAATGATCTACAATATTACTTTCGGAGTAAGACTTATAAATGTAGCTTATGAATGTAGCTTAGCACTTAACTGTATGCATGAGTACTAGGCAATAAACTGCAGATAAACTTTATGTTAGTTAGACGATTAGTTCTATAATTTTTATATTGTAGTGGCATTGGACGCTAACCACATTGATAAGCCCGACTAAAAAAACACAGCCTACTATTATTAGTCCTCATTTTCACTTTAAATTTCTTGATTGATTTTCATTGATGGTTAACCATCATTCTATCAGTACTCTGAATAATACTCACGAGTATTATCGGGTTGTAATGTTGATTACTGCTCATAGCTTACTAGCTCAATCGATAATAATAGGTCATCTATATTAAATTATTAGCTACGATAGTTCCTTTGCAAGCTTTAATAACATGTACATGCTTAAAACATTAAGCTCTTGCAAATATGACATTTAAGTGACGTTAATAGACACTGATCATCACATACTGGCAATTGTTACGACACGACGAGTCAGTGTAGACAAAGATGTGACTTCCACCATTAGGCCTATTATTAGAGCAGTACTAATAACGAAGTAGACCATAATTCTACAATATTATTTTTAATAAATAGGTATGCAAACTACCTTTCCTGGTAATAAAATAAATGTACTTAAAGCTTCGAGAATTTTGCACTTTATTACTACCAGTAAGTGGCAAAAATATATGACCATGAAAAGTCTGCCTCTAGTTTTAAGGAGGCATTGCAAGAATAATAACCGACTCTCAAATTATAACATGTATACACGTAAGACTCAAACTATTTACATGTTATATTTTATCACGAAAGTATTATGTCAACCGATTTCGCACTAGAAACCAATGAGTGTATACCACCAGTACTACAGTACTTTATGAGTTAGTGATGAACTTCTGAATACATTATTACCACCTTAGTATTATTTTCAAGGGGGAGGGGTTGAAATAAACTCTCACTGTTCAATTGATAGATTTGAACTACTACATAGTCGACTGCATATGTATCACAAGCTATTAAGAGATATCTACTTAAATACGCAGTAATTATCCTTTCGGGAGGTAGAATTTCAATGATCACAAGCGTCAAAATATAAAAAACCCAGAAGTAGTCACTGATATTATAAGAGCGTTAAATTCTTTACTAGTACAACCAAACTGGTATTCTCACCAGAATCTGTGTAGGGATTTCAGATAAGACATCACGTTAATTACTGATTTACCTATTTCACATATTTGCTTTTTTTATATGCTTCTTAACATTTAGTAGGAGAAAAATTTGTTCCCACAGTTTACTCATGTTTTTAAGTCGATCCAATTCAAATGACCTCTGACTATGGCAGCTACCTCATTTGTTTTATCTTCGATCGATTAATTCGATCATTTCGTTTTTTCGGTTGAAGTACATTTCTAGTTTTGCTGGAAGCGCCTTTTTGACCAGTAATTAACTTATGCTACTCTTAATGTCAATATTTTTTATTGCTCTACGCTTTTGATCATTCACTTCTGAATGGGTCAAAATGAAATATTACGTAGTTTAGAACTGTGCTCTTCGCTCAGGAAGAATGCTGTTATCTCCTGACAGGAAAATAATTTTGTGATTCCTCAAAGTTACTGCTGGTAATTATATAGCTTGCTTGCATCCAAATTCGGAGATATGAATTGGCTGTAAGATCCATTTTCTAAAAAATTTAAAACATATTGTTTATTTCGTATATTTATAATTCTTTTGTGTCAAATCAGTACCGTACATTTTTACAGAATCATTGAGTCTTGGCTTTTTCGTTCACTGTAAGTCGCTAGTCATGAAACTGAATTAAGCAATATTATAGTGACACTTATATCTAGTGATTTTTTGTAACAACAAATTAAAGATCACATATTTTTTTATTTGTCACACCTTTGATGTAACCACATTTATATTCGATATCTATTGTTTTTCTGTATCAATGAAAAAGAAACGAATACTTTTGTTTGGTTAAATATAACACGACTTCACTACCAAGATTCTTAAAAATATAAACGTTGTATCCGCCGTCTACTCTTCTGCTTTAGCGGCCACGGCCTTTGATTGAAGGTTATAATAGTATTATAACATCCTTTTAGGTCATTCCACACTACGTTGGTGCTTTGGCCCGGATCAATACTGAATAATACTACTGGATCTAATCTTCTTCATTTTGCTGTTGGTGCCATCACGTGCAGAGGAACCTTGTTAACCAAGTGAACTTATTTGTGGTTGTTATCTCAGAAAGCAGCTTACAAGTAACATTCATTTCATAACACTGTTACCATTTCGTTGTTCAATATACATTTTTATAATTTAACTGTAATTTGTTACCTTTTGCGTTAATCATAGACACACGCTTAGGTTTGTAGTGTTAATCCCTTTTGGTATATTGTTGGTAACTTTGTGTATTGTTATATCTTAACTAAGCTCTTTTGCTGAGGTCCACCACAAATCTGGTAAGCCTTTATATTTCTCTTTGGAACTGTAATTTTGTGTTCACTTACAAATATTGCGGCGCTAATTTTTCTCTTGGTAGTGATTATTTTTTTGTATATTTGTAATGTTCTCATCCGAATCTGAAGGAATTAGCCAGGATAACGACCGAACAGAGTTGCACACTTTAAACGTTATAAATGTACCTCTATTCAGTAGAACAAACCCACGTATATGGTTTGCACAGGTGGAAGCGCAGTTTCAGCGGCGTAACATTCGTTCACAGGCATCGAAATACTCTTTTTTGCTTAGAATTCTACCGACTGAGGTATCATCCGAGGTATCAGACCTCATAGACAATGTCCCTGTATCAAATGCCTACGATCAGTTGAAGCAGACTATTATCCAACGTACCTCACTCTCGGATGAAAAGAAGCTACAACAATTACTGCATGAGTGCGAGCTAGGTGACAAGTCACCCTCCCAATTATTACGCCACATGAGGCAGTTGGCTGAACCTTTTAAGGTTGGTGATATTTTTCTGAGAGAAATTTGGCTGCAACGTTTACAACAGTAGACCGGTAAATTCTCTCCGCTTCTAACCAACCTTTAGATTTAGAAGTTCTAGCTAGCACGGCTGACAAAGTTTTAGAAGTGACGCCAGGCACAACACCCTACGTGCAGGCGATATCACAAACTTCGAGTGACACTCAAACTCCGAACATAGCTTCCTTAACAGCTGAATTAAGTGACTTACGTACACAACACGCACGCACCGTTGCCAGTCTTGAAAATAAGCTAGATACATTACAATCAATTATTTCCAATCTCACATCTCGAAAGTCTCGCTCTAGTTTTCAGGGGAGCAAGAACCGAGATAACTCAATAACAAAAAAATGATGACATCTGTTGGTACCATAGGAAGTATGGTGACAAAGCTAGGAAGTGTGTTACGTCCTGTGAATTTTTCAGGTCATTTTCCTCGCCAAAAGGTGTCGACCAGACAGTAGTACCGACAAACGTTACAGGTCACGCTACTAGTCACCTTTTCCACGTTCTCGACAAAACTTCTGGCTACAAATTCTTAGTAGACACTGGAGCCGAAGTCAGTGTTATCCCAGTTACACTAGCCAAGAAACCTATTCTAAATGTGGAAAATATTCATTGAGAGCAGCTAATAAAACTGAAATAAAAACATTTGGAGAACAATTCTTGACATTAGATTTGGGAATTAGACGTCGACTAAACTGGGTGTTTATTATTGCTAATGTCCGTCACCCTATATTAGGTGCAGACATTTTAAGCTCCTATAACTTATTAGTCGATTTTAAAAAGCGAAAACTTATCGATTCGTGCACAAAACTCCAAGTTCATGGAATTCAATCGCACTATCATATACATATTATTAAAATCAACACTCCAGTAAACGACATATTTACCAATATTTTATCTAAATTTCCAAAGTTAACGAAACCAGATTACAGCGAAAACACCATCCAGCATTCTGTGGTGCATCGAATCATCACCAAAAACCCACCAGTTTCGGCACGTCCTCGTCGTTTACCACCGGACAAACTTGCAGTTGCAAAAGCCGAATTTGAGCACATGATGCGACTTGGAATAATACGTCCGTCGAGTAGCCCTTGGGCATCATCACTCCACATGGTACCTAAGCGGGATCAGGATTGGCGACCATGTGGTGATTATCGATCACTGAATAACTTAACTTTACCAGATCGTTACCCCATTCCCCATTTACACGATTTTTCACTTACGTTACACTGTAAACAAATTTTTTCTAAAATCGACCTTGTGCGAGCGTACCATCAAATTCCGGTAGCATCTGAGGATATACCAAAGACAGCCATCATTACCCCATTTGGCTTGTTTGAATTTCTGAGAATGCCATTTGGATTAAAGAATGCCGCACAGACTTTTCAACGATTTATGGATGAAGTCACTAAAGGCCTAGATTTTGTTTTCGTGTATATCGACGATGTATTAATAGCTAGCAGTTCGTTTCACGAACATATTGATCACCTTCATCAACTTTTCGAAAGATTTCAGAGATTCGGTATAGTCATTAACCCATCCAAATGCATTTTCGGAGTCGAAGGCTTAGAATTTTTGGGTCACTCGATTGACAAACTTGGAATCAAACCCTTAGACGCAAAAATTGAAGCTATCAAAAATTTTCCAGAGCCAGACTCACTAAATAAACTTCGACGTTTCTTGGGTATGATTAATTTTTATCGTCGGTTTGTCCCTCACTGCTCAGATATTCTACAGCCCCTAACGGAGGCGTTAAAAGGCAAAGCCAAAAAGCGCACATTATCCTCCGAAGCGAAAGATGCCTTTACTGCTGCTAGAATAGCAATAGCTTCTACCACCATGCTGACCTACCTCAGTCCTGATCCAGAAGCAACACTAATTTTGTGTACAGACGCTTCTCAGGCAGCAGTAGGCGCGGTGATGCAACAAAGAGTAAATAATGAAGTCAAGCCACTTGCTTTCTTTTCAAAGAAGCTAGAACCGGCCCAAACCCGATACAGCACGTTTGGCAGAGAATTATTAGCTGTTTATTTAGCAGTTAAACATTTTAAACACTTACTACAAGGTAGAGATTTCGTGATCTTCACTGATCATAAACCTTTGACTTACGCTTTCAATGCCACAAGTGATCGTTATTCTCCTAGAGAAACTCGACAGTTAGATTACATTTCTCAATTTTCTACCAACATACAGTTCATAAAAGGTGAGTCAAATGTTGTGGCTGATACTTCGTCACGTTTCAACGTTGATGATATTTGCTCCACTAAAGGAATTGATTTGTTGGACATTGCACGCTTACAGGTTGATGATTCTGATCTTGCGGCTTGTAAATAAAATTCGACTCTAGTATTAAAAAGTATTCCAATACCACATTCTGATTCCACTATAATTTGTGATACTTCAACTGGAATACACAGGCCATTTGTGCCAATAGCGTACAAAAAAAGTTTTTGATTGTCTTCATTCATTATCTCACCCAGGAGTTCGAGCTACTGTGAGACTGATCGGAGAAAGACTTGTATGACCAAAAATGAACTCGAACATGAAGGAATGGACCAGAAATTGTTTACAATGCCAGCGTAGCAAAGTTCACAGACATACGATTACAACACCGTCAACATTCAATCTACCTGACGATCGTTTTCAGCATGTCCACGTTGATTTAGTTGGTCCTTTAGCCACATCTAACGGATTTACTTACATCTTTACTGCAGTGGACCGTTTTACCAGATGGCCAATAGCATGTCCAATAAAAGATATCTCAGCAGAAAATATTGCTGCCGTGTTTCTTGACAGATGGATTTCTAATTTCGGTGTACCTTCTACTGTTACTTCCGACAGAGGTTCACAATTCCAATAGCACCTCTTCAACGAATTTACGCGCATCTTCGGAATCCATCACATCACTACAACTGCATACCATCCATCAGCAAATGGACTAGTGGAACGATTCCACAGACAACTTAAAAGCTTATTGATGGTACAGCCTGATGTAACTAGATGGAGTGAATTCCTACCTCTCATATTATTGAGCATACGCTCGACAATTAAGGAAGATCTGCAATGTACACCTGCTCAGCTAGTTTATGGAACTAATTTAACCTTACCTGGTCAACTAGTCACGCATAAGGGCACATTTGTATGTACAGACCCCTCCTCCTTTTGCGAAAGACTAATGAGCCACATGAATAGCATTAAGCCTGTTGCACCTCGACCAGTTTTCTTAAAAGAGCAAATTAGCAAGCACCTAAACACATGTAAATTTGTGTTTGTCCGTGTCCACTCAGCAAGACGTCCTTTACAACACCCTTACGAAGGACGTTTTGAAGTAGTAGACAGGCAAGCAAAATATTTCACAATCAAGAAGAATGGTAAAAAGGAAACAGTTGCAATTGACAGGTTAAAACCCGCTTTCATAGAGTCTGAAACACATAACAGTCGAAAGCCTTCTAAAGACAACAACTGCACAACACAGCTTCCTGCGTTTCCAGATAATTCTTCACCTACTTCTGTGAAATCGACAACTCATACAATGTGTGATGCTAAAGTTACAGCTCCTACAAACTTAGTTCTTAATTCCACTACTTTACCTATTTTAAAAACTACTCGTACAGGAAGACAGGTACATATTCCTAAACGTTATGTTGAATTCAATACTTAATCTTCCTTCGGTCATATTCTGTAATGTGAGTAAATATCTATATGCTAAGAGTTACTCATGACATATTTTTTAACTATAAGTGTATGCGTTTTACATGATGCTCATTGTTAACTGTAACGATATCCAACTCCGTTGAATTTGTTCATTCTATAAATGATCGTTTACATTGATATATACAGATATTAAAAATTTTTCCGGTAATCTATCAATTTAATTAACGTTATTATTAATAACACTACTATTCTTATTATACGTTCAATTATTTTTGTTAAATTTTCTATATACATTAAAAATAATAAACAAAAAAATTTTTTTATAACCACAAAAAACATCTTGGTTCATAAATATATATACTAAGTAAATTTTTTTGATAACCTTTATATATTCTTTCTTTTGTTGTGTAATATTTTTTCCCCTCCAAAGCACTTAAAGTTTACGTCGGGCATACTTCCACCGACGCATGCCCTAGTGGGGGAGTTATATAGTGACATTTATATCTAGTGATTTTTTGTAACAACAAATTAAAGATCACATATTTTTTTATTTGTCACACCTTTGATGTAACCACATTTATATTCGATATCTATTGTTTTTCTGTATCAATGAAAAAGAAACGAATACTTTTGTTTGGTTAAATATAACACGACTTCACTACCAAGATTCTTAAAAATATAAACGTTGTATCCGCCGTCTACTCTTCTGCTTTAGCGGCCACGGCCTTTGATTGAAGATTATAATAGTATTATAACATCCTTTTAGGCCATTCCACACTACGTTGGTGCTTTGGCCCGGATCAATACTGAATAATACTACTGGATCTAATCTTCTTCATTTTGCTGTTGGTGCCATCACGTGCAGAGGAACCTTGTTAACCAAGTGAACTTATTTGTGGTTGTTATCTCAGAAAGCAGCTTACAAGTAACATTCATTTCATAACACTGTTACCATTTCGTTGTTCAATATACATTTTTATAATTTAACTGTAATTTGTTACCTTTTGCGTTAATCATAGACACACGCTTAGGTTTGTAGTGTTAATCCCTTTTGGTATATTGTTGGTAACTTTGTGTATTGTTATATCTTAACTAAGCTCTTTTGTTGAGGTCCACCACAACCTGCATTTCATTTGTGATCATCTCTTATCGTTGCTTTGCTAACGATATACACTTTACAATTCCGTTGGTTAAGTTGGTTATTTAGTAGCACGCTCATTTGGGAATATTACCCGTGAAAGTCGTGCAAACTGAGCGAAATATTTTCGAATTTCCACCATCACTGACAATGGTTCATACCAATAATAATGACATGAGTCTGGATTGTAAATCGTGGTATTCCTGATAATTATATCTATAATCTTTGATGTTTATCGCTCTACAAAGACTTTTTCACTCGATGACAATACTCACTATCGAGGCACCATTGTTTGTGGTTTAGGAGAACGGTTGATTGTCACAAATATCCGCCACTAGTTTAATTACTCATATACGTTTACATTAATGTTCAAAAATAGCGTGTGCTCACCAACAGTTTTAACCTTCAATTCTTTTCGTTTGCCGTCACAGTATTTCAGTTAGCCTATCATGAAAGATTTAAATGGAGAAAATGACACTAACAGCATAGGGTGACTTTGTAGTGATACTGGATCTCAACCACATGATTCCTGAAGCCGAATGCCCGATAACTGAGATTTATATTAAACCTTTAACACAAAGGATTTCAAAAATGGTGGATGCGGAAACAATTGATCAGTATGGTAGGTATGGCTACTCTGTGTGTCCTTTTGCTATTCTTGCTAAATATATTAATCCCTTCCCAGACTAAAAGTCCTTAGAAATAACTACCGTCTATCACGATAGGACAGGTCAGCATAGATGATAGTGACTTGACTTTCACGTAAGGTCTGACAGATTTGGTGGTTGCATCATGGCAAATTTACGACTGGAGAATTGATTCAGCATTTTAGTAACAAAGATAATTGTGCTATTACCGATGTAGACCAAAATTCTATAACTTATGTCAAACCACAGATAAAGCTATCATGAAAACTAGTTAATAATGCATAAACTATTTGACCCTCAAACATTTGTCTATGTATACATAAAGCTTTTAGTCACCTATCAACAATACAGATTTAATCGAAACTAGTCAAAACATTTATTCATATCAAGTGGTCCATTGATATTATTATCAAAGCTGAAGTTACGTTCGATTAAGCTGTACGTCATTTCTATGGACGTTTATATCAAATCGGAAATTACTTGTCATCACTAAACACCACTCCCTAGTTATTTGCTTCTGATGTCTTTTGATTGATGTTTGATTTTGTTAATACCTGAAGGATCCTTTGTAACTACTGGAAGCCATTATTGAGTTTGAATACAGAACTTTAGAATTATGGTCTACTTCGTTATAAGTACTGCCCTAGTAATAGACGAAATCCTAAATTTGTGGATTTATCATGATGTAAATGCCCAATCTATAAGACTGTAATGACCTACTTTTATGAAGAGAACACGATTGGTATAACTGAAACAATTACTATCATAACCAATTGTAGCAGTGATTGTTTTACCGTGCCCTTTTGTTTAAGTGTACCAAAGATACACTTTTTCATGCACGAACTCGTGTACGTTCAGTAGTCCGGCTTGTAAACTTTGACACAATTTCGGTATTATATCGATACCAAAATCTATTCCATTAGACTAGAGTACGTTCTTCTGTAAAGCAAGCAAAGCGTTTTTGATTTGCTCGCAATAAATTATATCAAAACTCAAACCCTGTGCTCAATTTAAACGATTCTACTTTACGAAACAACAATTTCTATCAAACACATAAAAAACACCGAACGGTACAATCTGTTCTATACAGTCGAGGGTGTCCCTAACACAAATTAAAGTGCAATACAACAAAAGAAATGGTTAATACTCAAGAGTTCAACACCAGAGAATTAGTAAGAATATTCCCGACAAGATGGGATCAGACATATCTACGGGGATTCAAGCAGTCTTTCCAAGCAGACAGTCAAAGGTTAACAGCCACACATTGAACAATGGCTTGACCTTGAGCTTAGCCAAGCAGGGCCTTATTATAAATGGTCCGACAACATGGACCTCGAATGCCTCCCTGGACTCGGCATGAAATTCAACCGACATTTCTGGGGTATAGGGGTAGCCGGGTGTCAGTAAAACAATACTGAATATTAGGTGAGTCATCATTCGTGCTGAAAGTATTCTCGCCCAGGCATACTGACAAACGGATGCTGTATGGTCGACCAAAAATGATCATGGTAGACGAGAGCTGATGAAGATTGAATGATAAGCAGTATGAGTCAGTCGACACGATGGAATGGCCATGTTATATGCTTCTGAAATATTTTCGAACAACTATATACCGTTCTTCTGTTAAGCTTGTATCCGTTCTGTATATTATCAGAGTAGGATAGGCTGGAATCGGGTAGGTTGTGGTTACGCCAGGGGTTTACTAAATGATTTGGAGTCGACATAAGACTTATTGAATGGTCACATCATTACAATCGACTCTAGCAGAATAAAAATACCAAAAGAATAATATAGAAAGTCTTTTAACACTGAATAAGTCCAAGAGTCCACAGACTTAAAAATGAAGTGGATGTAGAGTCGAAGACGGACTGTGATCACCACTACAATTCGTTTAC